TTAAGGGTATTTATAATTAACTGTTTGCAGTAATAATAATAATAATAATAATAATAATAATAATAATAGATCATCTCTGTTTTCTAACATTTAAAAGAGTCAAATTGCCTTGATTTTGTGTAAGAATCTATATAAAGGATGAGTTTCCTTTATCCTTCTTCTACTATTCTCCAAGGAACTGGAATTATATGCAAATTAGAAATTATTTGAAAAAATTATTCCCAACTTACAACCTAGCCAAAAAGACAAATATTAGCCTCAAAAATATTTTAGAAGTCTATATTAGGGACTAGTTTCAAATATTTTTGTATGAAAGACAAAAAACACCCCTAATAATTTTGAGTCTTATTTAAAAACAACTACTGAGAAAGTATAGAACTATTTTCCTGGAAAGGCTTACCTCCAGCTAAAGGGTAAAGACTAAGATTTAGGCTTATCAATTTATGACCACACTACAGTTGCAGTACACTCATTCATTCATTAGAAAGGTCCATTTAGGCTTAGGACAACCTCACTTCACGCCAGCTTAAGCCATGTTGGGGGAATGGGGGGCTGTCTAGAGGAAATCAGGGATTCGGAGCTGTACACATTTGTGCCAATGTCTGGGACTCCGTTGGAAAGACTTATTATTTCTGGAATGCAATTTCTTGCCCCCTGGCAAAGTTAATGATATTAATTTGTAAAGGTTCATTTGGGAAATGCTTGTGATTAATGCTTGCTCATTTGCATAACCCTATATTGTGTAAATAAAGCTGTAGCCTTTTGCTTCCCAACAGTGGAGTGCTTCTGAGATGATAAAAATTGGACAAAGGGGGCTATTAGGGGACCCTTAAACTAGGTCACATTGAATTTTAATGCATGGATCCTGCCCTGGTACATTTTATATGGGTAATAGGAAAATGCAGAATGCAGTCTGTTTACTGTGCAAATCTGCCTTCCAGATTGTTCCATAACCATATTTTCTACACTGAAGAATGAAGGCAATTCAGTCTCCGGCTGATTTAGAAATGTTATTAAAGAAAATAAGGATGAGCATCTTCTTAATTCTTACATTAATATGTAAATAGGGTAATTATAAAATAATAAACTCTCCCCCAAATAAAAAATGCTCAGTTTCAGAGCCCAGTTATGCAGATTACAGTACCATTACTAAACACAGAGAACATGTATATGTGATAATTGTGAATTTGCCTTCCAGGTTATGTGATGTTACCACCCAGAGTCTAAGTGTGACTCAGAAATTTTATTTCTTTCTCTATTATCAACAGAAATTTTGAGTGGTGACAAGGAAGGGAGTGGTCACATGCTCATGCATGTGCATTTGTCCATGACTCTGTTAATGACTACAAAGACAATCACTGCCATGGAATGAAGCTCAAGACAAAGGTGCATCTACTCCCAAAGCAATTCTGAGGCGTAGAACGAAGACGGGCCCTCATCCCCACCTCCCTCGGCCAACCCATGACACAAACAAAAACCAAAATTTTCAGTCATTCTTTCTTGGTCTTAACTGTCCCACCCATAAAACGAGGGTGTTTATACCCTGTTCTTCTAACAGAAATGCTATGGAAATGATTTAAAAAAAAATATATTTTATTGATTTTTCACAGAGAGGAAGGAAGAGAGCTAGAGAGCTAGAAACATCGATGAGAGAGACACATCGACCAGCTGCCGCCTGCACACCCCCCCACCGGGGATGTGCCCGCAACCAAGGTACATGCCCTTGATTGGAATGGAACCTGGGACCTTTCGGTCCATAGGCCGACGCTCTATCCACTGAGCCAAACCAGTTTTGGCATGGAAATGATTTTCAATCATGGAACTGGAAACATCCTTCTGAAGAGCAAGTAGTCTATTTTAGTGATATCATACAAGAGGAAATCGAGGCCCACAGGGTGAAGTGATTTATCAAGTCAAATCTTAAACCTTAAATCACATGCAAATACTCTTAACCTACTGTTGTATACCATGTGGCCTTTCTATGTATGGAGTATAAAAACACAGAGCTGAAGATCTGGAACAATTTCTGGGAGGATCTGATCAGGTTAAACCTTAGATGCTTTTATTTATGCTGTTAATAAATTTGATGCTGGTTTCTGGAAAATAGTATGGTACTTGGCATAAAATAAAAGCTCAAGCTGAAACATTTGGCTCAGTGGTAGAGCGTTGGTCTGCGAACTGAAAGGTCCCAGGTTCGATTTCAGTCAAGGGCATGTACGTTGGCTGCGGGCACATCCCCGGTAGGGGGTGTGCAAGAGGCAGCTGGTCGATGTTGCTCTCTCATTGACATTTCTAGCTCTCTATCTCTCTCTTTTCCTCTCTGTAAAAAAATCAATAATATATATATAATATATATATATATATGCTCGATAAGTACAAAGAAAATGAGCAAAGTTAATATGTGAGGCAACATAATAAAATAGAAAAAGCTGTGAATTTAGAAGCAAGAGAATTTACATCCTACCTTTGACATTTGTTGACTATGAAAATTTATGTAATTCCAAAAGACTGGAAATGACTTAAATGCCCACCAAATAAGGGACTAGTTAAATAAACTGGAACACCCACATTTATTATAGACTACCACATTAGTTTTCTATTGCTGTTGTATCAGCAAATTATCCCAAACTTACTGGTTTAAAACAACACACATTTATTATCTTGATCGTTCTGCGGAACAGTGTTCCTTTGGAGGTCCTAGGGGATCTGAAGGCTGCCCACATTCCTTGGTTTGCAGCCCCCTCTTTCACGTTCAGAGCCCACAATGGCCAGTAGAGTTGTCCTCACCCTGTATCACTCTAACCTTTCTTCTGCCTCCCTTTTCTACATTTAAGGACCCGTGGGCCCACAGGATAATCCAGGATAAAATATTTTATGGTCAACTGATTGGCACCTTAATTTTATTTATTATTTTAATTTCCCTCTGACATATAAAGTAACATACATAGTAGAAGGTTCCAGAGACGAGGATGTGAATAGCTTTGCCTTAGCATATCTGTGTGAAAACTACGAGGAAGCTCTCTACGTTTTGATAGGGGAAAATTTTCCAGGATATATCTTTATGTAAAAAAATGCAAGGCAAACCAAAGTACACTACCTTTCAGGTAGAAAAGGGATGAAACAAGAGTATATATTCATACCTGGTTTTCTTTCTTTCTTGGTTTTTCAGACCCAGGAAATATATACTAGAAATATGAAAGTGGTTACAGATAGACAGGAACAGCATGGAACATGGGAGGATGGGGAATGCGATGGAACAAGACTTTTCAGTGTATGTCTTAAAATTAATTTTACTTTTTGAATCATGTAAATACGTCATTATTATTTTTTAATTCAAGACACTCATAATTGCCCCAAATCCCTATTATTCACTTGATAGTCAAGCCTTTTGTTTTGAAGAGTCTGTCATCAACCTTGTTATTTTTCTCTTATCAAGTTACCTTTTCTAATATCCTCAGTTGTCAGTGGCTTTGTATTGAGCAATTCTCTAACATGACATTCATAGACTTCATGGAAATCTGTCTCTTTTGCAATATTTATGTGGATTCACTTTCCAATCTATTGCATTGTATTATCAGATGTTTTCAATATATAGCATTGCTGCACTGGGGATACTAGGACTGAATATGAAGCATGTCTTCAGGTGGGACTTTTGTAAGGAGTCAGTTAAATAGTGAACATTTTAATTTTATATTCATAATGTTACAGATACTTTAATTTCCCTATATGACTATGGACATTTGTAAAATATCTGTGCAAAGCTGTTAAATATACTTGGATCTATTTCAGTATTCATTGTTCTGTCTTTCCTTGCAAAACTGCTTTAATTATTACAGTTTAAATCTAAGAGTAATATTGTACTTTAATATATCTCTAGTAGTTATGTATCTATAATTAATTAGTCTTCTATTTACAATATATTTCATTTTTCCCATCATATTGATTTTTTTCTCATTCAGGTTTACTGAATTATACTTTACAGTATAATTCCTGTTTAGATATTAAGTTTTATGAGTTTTGAGAAACAAAAACGGTTGTATAATCACCACAGCAATTAAGATATACACTCTAAACACTCCTCTCATGCCCTTTTGCATTAAATTCCCTAACCCCACCATCAGTCCCTACTGCTCCGATTTCTGTCCCCATAGTTTTCTATTTCAGAAAGTTATATAAGTGCAATTATACAATATATAGAGTATATAGAGTATTTATTATTTTAGTATTTCCAATAAATATAAATCCTATAACAATGTTTTGCAAAATGACTTCTGGGGTGGAGTAACTCAAGAAATATCACATATGATATTGAATCTCCAGATTTGAATTTGCATTGGCCATTGGCTTTATTTGGTAATTGGTTTTATTATAAACATTCTAATATTATTTATTTTGATTTCATGTTATTTTATGTCTAATTTGAAAATCAACTTTCATAAAATATTAATTTGTACCTTTTTCTTGTTATTCTTCTTTAGCAGGATAATGAAACTGGCTACATAAAATAACTTACTAACCTTTTTCTATATTTTCATGTCTGAGAACATAGAAATTATATAGTAAATTATTTTCTCGGGTATTTATGATTTGTCACACACAAATGAAATATACAACACTTGGTAGCAAGAGTAATAACTGATTTTCTTTAGAATTTATTACATTTTTTTCATACTTTCATTGCATTTTAAACTTTAAAACATGTTTTCTGCTATTTAAGTATTTTAAAAAAGTAAACACAATTGGTGAGGTTAAGTATAAAATGGTATAGAAGGGATTGATTATCTATAGAAAGCCTTGATTTTTTTTTTATATAGCCCCCCAATTGCTCAAGTTTCTTGTGTTGAATCCAAATCCCTGGAAAACCTGGCATACTGAAGTAAGTGGGCCACCAAGAGGAGTGGCTGCTAGACAGTATGTACATATGAAGAGATGTAAGTATCCAGAACAATCAAACTTCCAGCTTGACAGACTGCAGAGAGCAGGACAAAGGAGATACTCACATCCGAATTAAAGCGAAGCTGGCAGACATTACAAGAAATAACTTGTTTCTTCTTTGGGGGAATGGACACTCCAAACGTGTGGTTAATAACTGCTTTTTGCACAGGATCCATCTGAAGAGCAAATGATAAAATAATCATTTTATAACTTCAAAGGATAGAAAAGAGTGTGAGCAAGTAATAATAGCCGTATTATTTCTTAAGGCTTTATCTTCATTCCCAAACAAGGATTATAAAGACTCCCATTCAATAGTAATGTACTGTTTCCAGGGATTGAACAAAACCAAAAAATAATAAACTGGTTTGAAATCATAGCACAAATCAAAGGAGAATCCAACATCCCAAGAAACCATATGCATCATAAGAAGTTTTGAAAAACTTTAAAAGAATCATAAAACAAGAATATTTAAAATCCAAAGGTCAAAGCTAAAATTAACTTAATATTTTCCCTATATGAAGTGATAATACCCATGATAGTCTGAAATGGCCTCAATGGCAATGATTACAGATATATGTCAGTTTCTTAAATTTTGATTTATGGCAAAGTCATAGATACAGGCTTGTCTCACAGCCCAGAAAATGTTTATTTTAAAATAACTTATTACTTTTCATATACTACAGGTAAAACTCATTTGAAATGGAAATACACATAACAGATTGGTTAATATGCAACCCTTATTTACATATTGAGCAAGTTTTTTGACTTACAATGTGTGGCTTTTCTCCCTTTGGTTTGCATATACCATATACATTCAGAAAAACATAAAGTGATGAAAGTATAATACTTAACCAGCAAATATATGGCACAAAGCTACAAAAACACATGGAGAAAGAAAAAAACAAACACTATTTGCAGAGCCTATAAAAAGAGACACAAAGCAGTGATTCTCTTATGTACGCCAGATAATAATCCCCAGCATTAACATTGGACAACTGGCAGTTCAAAAAACAATGCAGATGATAAACAAAGCATTGCTAATAAACAGATGCAACACAAACGGACACACCATCATCTAGGAAATCTCCTGAGGTTAGAGCTTAGGGTTGGATTAGTTGATGATATTTGGGAGGGAGGAGAAATGAAGACTATCCCCGGTCAGGAGTATAAATCCACTAAATGTAAAATTAGCAACTAGAAAAACTTACGTGCATTAGAAAGAACAATGGATTACAGAATTATTGAATAGTAAAATAGCCTATTTTTTTGCTACAAGTTTAAGTGAGATGACAGACTGCATTGCTAATATAAAAACAGTTATGTGGTTTGGGACACTTAAAATTTCAGAGGGGAGTTTTCTGGAGTAATGGAACGATCCTGTAGCATGTAGTGGTCGTCACATAATTTATACATGTGTTCACATTCATAGAGCTATACACACTCCCCCAAAATCCATTTTATGTATAATAATTTAAAAAGTAAAAGAAAAAAAGTGTTAATAGGATTATGCTTAACTACTAAGTGGAAAATAGAATTACTGGGAAATATGAGGATTTGATTTGTTCAAGGCAAAAACTGATTATATTAAATTTTATTTAGTAAGAATAAAAAACAAGCATCCATGGGCATTGAAATCTCAATGTACACTTTCTTAGTTTACTCACAAGTGCATACACTTGTTTTATCTATCCATTTGTAAAACATGAAACTATACTTTCTGATTGTTACTAGAAATAGAAAATTAGTTTGGACAGGAAAATAAAATGGCATACGTATGTTGACAGAATAAAAACTACACTGTTTTGCAAAGTTAAAAAATGAAAGCATTTTATTGAGATACTTTCTGTTCTCAGGCTCTAAAAAATTCATTTGATGATGTGTAAACTACATGGAATAAAACTATATGAATATTCTCAAACACTTTCATTACCTTTGCTATATCTATATACTATTGTGTTATTATTATTCATGTCTTTTTCTTTAAATCAAAGTAAAATAGACTTTAAAAAATGTAGTAATAATTATGAAACCATAGTTTTAACGTACATGCTTTTCTATTACTCAACATTAAAAATGAAAACTTTCATCATATAAAATAAATATACATATCCTAGTTATTCCCATACCACAATATAGAAACACAGACAAAAGAAATGGCTGCAAAAATCTAGCTCTAAATTCTTAGTAAACCAAGATATTTGCTGACAGCTCCAACATGACCCTTGAATATAAACATCCCCTTTATATTTCTGAAATTATCAACCTACATAATTAAAAAAATAATTCCTAGTGCAAATTTATTTTACTCCAATCTCATATTTGTGCATTAACCTACAATTTCCCATTTATATTCCCAAGCTCTCTGTCCTATAGGTGAATTGTGGCTGAGCACTCCAGATACAAAGGCATGCCCGGCTGACATGGCTCAGTGGTTGAACGTTGAACTATGAAACAGGAGGTCCCGGTTCAATTCCCTGTCAGGGCGTATGCCTGAGTTGCAAGCTCAATCCTCAGTTGGGGCATGCAGAAGGCAGCTGATCAATGATTTTCTCTCATCAATATATCTTTTCTCTGAAATTAATATATACTATAATACAATACATATATACATATACATATACATATATTAGTGTGTATATATACACACAATACATACACACATATTAATATAATATATATGTATACACACATATATTATATATACTTTATTATATATATTATATATATATATATACTTTATAACAGGATATATCCAAATACAAAGGCAGATGTGTTCCCAGCCACCTACTCCCTGATAAGCCAACTAAGGCAGTTCCTTCAAAAAACTCTAACCAGAATTAGCTTCTGTACTTTATATACATAATCCTACTTGTACCTATAAAATCAATTAAGTAAACATAGCCCTTTTACCCTGTCCCTCATCACCTTGTCATAAAAATTTCATCCTTCATGTTTGCCACTTGGAGGAGATAGTTTCCACTTTCCACTTGATTCTCTATTTTCTTGTAGGTAGTATTTCAGGAGAAGACCCACTTGTTTTTTCCCTGCCAAAATCTCTGCTGCTTATCACAGAATTCTATACTTATATTTCTTATTCATCAATTGGGGACATGGTTTAATTGAAAGAAAAGTTCAAGTGGGAGAAAAAAGATTGCTCCATTTGCCAAATCATTTGATACCTTGAAACTGAAATGGTTTTGATTATATTTTGTGTATTTTCCATCTGATGTCATAATTATAAATACCTGAGAAATTTCAGTGAGTTCCAGCCTTGTCAGGAACATAGAAAATGTTTTTAGATTTCTCTCTCTCCTTTTTAAAAGTATAAAGTCATCAAAATCTGATGATTTTCTTATTCTTTATAATATTCTAAAAGTTAGATGAAAATAATTATGATGTAAACTTATACTAACTTAAATTTTCCTTCCATTAGTACAATGTAAGTTCTCATAATGAGATATGTATAGCTAAATCAATGGTCATAATTTTATTCAATCACCAATTTTTAGGATGAATAAAACAATCAAGATGAACTAAAACATTCTCTTAAATCCTAAAATGTGATACATGTAAGTGATTCAACTTAGTGTCATCAAACTATATATCTATCTATATCTATCTATATCTATATCTATATCTATATCTATATCTATATCTATATCTATAGCTATGATTTCATATATAGAATATTCAGGAAAATTATTAGAAGTATAGCAATTATACGACAAACTTGTTTTTAAAAGATTCAATAGACATTTAATTATTAAAAATGAGCTAGTGTCTTCTAACATCATTATTAAAATGTTTATATCACTTTTAAATGAACAAATTCCTTCTTAAATACTCAAATTAAATTTGCTCATGTTAGTTCACATTTCACAAGAAAGCGGTCTGTGGATTGAGAGGATTGAGATTAATTGATAATAATGCTGAAAACACTTTTTTTTTTTTTTAAGGAAAAAGGAAAACCCCTCGTTTACCATATAGTTCTAGTTACTCGTATTCCTTACCTGACACAGTTTATTGGTTCCAAATAAGCCCATTCTTTTCTAAAGTGCAGTTAGAAGTAATCTGTACTTTTGAGACTAGAAGCAAATTTATATAAAAATTTAAAAAATCTATTTTCTTTGTTAATCTCTGCTTTAAAAGCCTGAAATGCTTACTAACAAAAAAAAAAAAAAAAAAAAAAAAGCAGCAAGTGATAACATTTGCCACGTTGTCTAATGAAAATCATGTAGAAATAAAAGCAAAATCTATTAGTGCAATTAACTGGTAGGTAATAAAAATGAAAAATGGGGTTATGGCTGTTGCCAAGTATCAAGGAGATAACTGGAGGCTATGTAAGGAAAATTTAACTATTATAAAAAGGAAATTAATGAAGCTGACCTTACCACGCTATCTATTCTATTTTCAGTATCAAAATAAGAACAAATAGTTATCTTTGGTGTAGTCACCAGATTATGGAACCATAAATATGTGTGATTTTTTTTTTAAAGGTCATGACTTTCACTGAATGTACCAAAAAAGTAATGTATGTCTGCACAGTGTAAGCAATCATATACAAATATGCAGCTCCAATAAAACCCAGCTGCAGTGAAAACACCGCAGCATGCCACTAAGGGCAGGGCAAGCTCTATGGGAGGGGCGAGAAACTGAGGGAGGGGCTACACAACTAAAGGACTTCCTACTAGATGATCTCTAGAGCCTAGACAGCATTGCTAGATGAAGCTTCAGGCATCAAAAACTAAATTCCAAGCTTTCCAATGACCCCAATAATTTTCAAGAGGCCTGAAGTTTGAGTTGTATTGTTGTTAGAGTCTTATGATTTCACTAGTTATCAAGTGGGACTGGGTATTGGGGTAAATTGAACACCGCCCAATTAAAAAGCAAAAAGGGATGCTCAGGAATCATACAAGGCTTTCTTTATGTGCTAAAATGGCTGGATTCCCATATTATTCTTAAAGATGGGGAAATGTCATCTGAAATTTAGCCATGTACCTTAACCAGCGTTCTAAAAATCATTGGCAAGCACTTACTGTACAACTAGATGCCCTATGCATGAAATTTATGCAAGGGGCTCGGCCCCCACCACCACCACAGCCGCCTCCTCTGCCTTGGCCCCTTCTTGCTGCAACTGATGCCTTGGCACTCACAGCCCTGGCTTCATTCGGAAGGT